AAAAATACAATCTGTTCAAGTTATGTTCAAGTGATGTTTAAGTTCTGATCAAACACATTAACAAGGAAAAGGTTGTTAAAAAAAATGCTTATCGACACGAAATCAATAAAATAACTAAACAGCAGGAATTACCTTGGTGTGGGGTAGATTTAAGAAGGTCCTCTGCAGAAAAAGGCGGCTGTAACTGTCACGAACTTCCCATTTCAATATCCTCGGTATATCATGGTCACCAACAGAGGTGCATATTACACCTTCAGCGGTGTCGCAAACCTCGCAGAACCACGTCTGGAGAGCCAAGATAAGGCCATAACACCTGTATAGATATCCAGCACCCTCGGGCTTCTCATGAATGTGCATTTGCTCTCTTGTATGAATTGACTTCTTCATGTAGTAAAGAGTGAAATCAAAAACTTCTTTTCCCCAAGCATGGTCATCACACTCTGGACTGTCAATCAAGTCAATGTAGCAGCGGTCAATGCATAGGGCTTCTTGTGAGCCCATCAAGAAATTTGCAAGTAGGTGCAACTTCGCAAATTTGACCGCATCCTCATCATTGGACCATGCTTTCTTAAGAAATTGCCACCTGATGTGGTTACGTCTCAGTTCTACACCATCAAAAAACTTGTCGTGTAGCCCACCGGATATCTTTGAAATGTTCAGCTTTTTGCTTTTTCCAACACATTTCAATCCGGTTATAACAGCAAATTCCTCTATACCGAAACGAAGTAACTTGCCTCCAAAATCGAACCAAACCTCATCGCTCCTATTCTGATGAACCTCGCGTAAGAGTATAAGGTTGATGAGTTGGTTCTGTACTATGCAATGAGGGAGATCAAGGAACTTCCCAAATGGTGATCTTCTGAATGCTTCCAATTGACCAGTTGTAAGAGTCCTCTTGATATCGTTGATCGTGTCTCGATCTTTGCTGTTATCGTTGCTGTTTTGGACCTTGACATTTATGTCCCTGGGGTGCGGGATGAGCAATTGCCATTCCTGAAAAAAATAAAGAATAAAATGCAATTAAATTACCAAAAAAAAAAGCCTTCAAAACATATATGCCCTGTTCACTATACCCTGCAATAAATATGTGCCATAATCTGCCCTGTTCAATTTACTTTAAGGTAAAAATGAAAATACTTTAAATATATACTTTTACAATTTATAATGTCATGTTCAAATCTACTTGAAATATACTTAAACATATGCCCTGCAATACAAAATGTAAGGAATAAAATCAGTATTAAAACCTAACATATAAATGAAAATAAACTTGCATATGCTTCAGATGAAAAATAGTTATGAAGAACACAATTATTATTCGAATAAGAATTTTATGTTAAAGTTTTTTTCAATAAACCTGAAATATACTTGAAATATACTAAAAAATTGTTATGTAAAACATAATTATCATTCAACTAAGCATTTTAGGTCCAAGTTCTGAGCAATATATTTGAAATATACTAAAAAAAACTCAGTATGTAAAATTGGTATACTAAAAAAATATAATTATGTCCAAGTTCTGAGCAATATACTTGAAATATACTAAAAAAATACTCAGTATATAAAATTTTTTTGGTAAAAAAAACTCAGCATTTTAGGTCCCAAGTTCAGAGCATTTTAGGTCGAAGATCAGAGCAATAAGATTGTTATATACGTTGAATATACAGAAAATATACTACATTTGTAGTGAACAACCACACAACAGTATGTATACTCCAATGTTACTAAATGGTGATTAATCAGGGACTACACAAATTAAACATACCTTGCAAAAAAAAAAAGTCGATTAAAAAAATGATGGTTTAGGGGCAAATACCTTGTATTTTATTCCTTTCTGAAAATCTCGAGTGGACTTGGTGACATCAATATTGTCCATTTTTCTTTTCTTCAATCTGTTGACTTCGTCACTTTTTTTGGCCGTCCTTTTCTTTGCTTTTTTCGTCAACAATTCAGCAGGAGAGTCTTCCTCATCCAAATCTTCTTCACTGTCGCTTTCTCCGGGTTGGCTTACACACTCGAAGTCGGGATCTTCTTCGCTTGAAACTCGGGTTGGCTTCTCCACTTTACGTGTTTGCCGAGACTTTTTCGGTTTGTTTATGTCGGACTGGAAGTCATCTGAACCGGGAGACGAAGTATGTTTTCTCATTTTCGCCTTGTCGGAAATCCTGCGGCGACTGGGCTTAGGGTTAGAGATTTTATCGAAAATTAATTTTTTTTTAACGAATTTCGGTTGATGTTTTGGGAGGATTTTACGGAGTCGGGCACTAGATCTAATAACTGGTGAACCGTCGCCATTATCCGCCGGATTGTTTCGTTGAGGATGATTGATTTTGGCTTTGGTTTTTGCCATTGAATTCTGAAAACGTCGAACAGTTGAGGGTTTTCAGAGTTGAGGGTTTTCAGAAGATGAAGGGTTACGTTTGGTGGGGATATCTTTACTTTTTAGTTCCAATTTTTTTGGTAAGTGGATAATTAATCTTACTTAATTATATCATTAATATTATTAAAAAATTAATAAACAGTTAATCAGGATTTTAGGCATAGTTGAAAAACTTTTATGTTGTTTAGGTGATTTTAAAAAATAATATGAAAAGGGTGCAAAAGTGTTAAATAGTTTAAGCATGACAGTATGGAATGCAATTTTCTCTATTTTATATTTATTTTTAGAGCATTGGAGTATTTTATAAATTCGAAGCATTTCACGATAGTTCACGCGAGTCTTTATTGGGTTCCCGTACCAGGTCAATTAGGCCCAAATTAGTGTTTAATTAAGAAAAGCCCAAACCTCAACATTAAAAGTGGGGATTTTATTAATGCGATTGGGCTTGGTAGACAAAAGTGGGCTTGGAGCAATTTGGAGCATATCACGTTTTAGCTAAAGGAACAA